AACAAAAACAAAGGGTAGACATTTAGTAGCGTAAATTTGTGTTTTTTTTGTTCTGTTTTAAGCTACTAAATTTTTGCCCTTTACTTTTGTTTCAAATAACTGTAACAAAAATTCCAATAATTAAATAGACTGTACGAAATTTCCTGTTTTTTCTTGGGGGGGGGCACTATGTAGTTTCGAGTAATTCAGGATTTTCTCAAGAAACTGTGGAGGTCATTTCAAGTCGAAGTTTTAATCTCGCTAATACAACATTAAAAAGACTCATTTATTCTTCCTAAGACCTCAATCAGACATTTCGGGACCGGATTGCCGTTATTGTTAATTGAATCAAATCCTTCGGTTGTTTTGCGAGACCGTGTGTGGAATGTCTGTTTGCAATTTCACTGTTTGCCCGGCTGACGTGAGGAAGCTATCAGTTTTCTTACAAGACGCGCATCATTGTTAAGGACAAACGTGACTTAGTGCGTAAGACGTTCCGTACAAAGGCAATGACAATGAAATCCTAACTTCATAAAAGTTAACAAATTAACTCCGGACGACGCAACGTCTCTAGACCTTCAGCAATCCTTCGGCAGTGGCGGACAATCGATTATGCGATACCTCTCACAAACCACTCAGCGTTCAGACGAACTACATTCTTCTGTACCACCATCTCGGTCCCACCCTTTTACTGTCGAAACAGTTAAATATAACCGCCTCTTCTCTAATTCAACAGCTTCTTCTCTCCCACTTCCCGACAGTGGAACTCCCTTCCTCTTACTTGCTTCCCTGATAGCTATAATCATCAAAAATTTAGATGTAATGCCAATCGACATCTTCTGATGCCTTGATCACCGTTCTTCTTCTTATCCTTTCCTCAATCCCCCCCTATATCCAGTCTTTTTTCTTACTTTCACTCTCTGTAACCACTTGCGTACTAGTGGCAACCCCCACCTTGCTTGGGATGAAATGCTTATAAAATAAAATAAAAAAAATTCTAACTCTCACAGCTAAGACCCACCATATCACCTATATTGTAGCGAATATTCTCCATTTCCTTCGTATGCCATTGGTTAGATGCAAATTTCACTCGAACAGATTTTTCCAACGAAGCAACTCACAAGAGAATGATTCTCCGATCAAAAGCATCACGACAATCTAACTTGTTCAAGACTATGGTTAGCCGTTATCTCCCCGACAGATCCCTATAAAATTACCCTATTACTCTCTAATCGTCTACGAGTGGCTCTTGGGTCTTGTTCAGAGTCAACATTATTGTAAAAAAAAAAGTCTGCCTAGTAAATATTTTGCTTTTCTGATAGACATGTTTGTTTTTCTCTTTTTTTTTTTTTTTTTAAAGATTTGTCTGTTTTGTGATGTCAACGAACACTCATTACCACTTGGTAATACCAACGAATACTCGTTGTCACTTTCGTAATGCTCGTTGTAGGAGAGACTTTGTAATCGCAGATACAACTATAGTAACACCGTTGATTAGTGCTGGTGTCAGACGCCTTCGAATATCACTTGCAAAAATAGTACTTGCTCCATAATACTCGCTCGAAAAGTATCCACCGAATAGTGATCCGAATAGAGAAATAGTGTAGAGAAGAGAATCGCGATCCGAATAGTAATAGAGGATAGAATAGAAATAACGATCCGTATAGTAAAAGAGGATAGAGGAGGAATAGTGATCATTTAGAAGTCACGCGACTTCCTACTTATGGTCACGTGGTCTACTTAATTCAATAATGGGATCGACTGTGTTTGCTCACTGGAGATCTATGTTCAAACTCAAGTGTCGGCAGCGACACTTTTTTTCTATATAACAGTCAAATTATTTTTCGTTTCATAACTCGAAATGCAAGGGTGCAATAAATAGGACATAATAAAAAAAGGCGTGAGAGGAAACTGCAGATGTAGAAAACACAGGTAAAAATACTATCGAATGAGCTAACCGGTTATCGCTCTTCATTTGTAAGGACTCGATCGAGGAAATTAAAATTTTGCGAACATTGACTAAAAATAGGGAAAAAAACACGAGGAAGAAAATGGTCACGCATCAATAGAGGTATACCGCTCCCTACGTCGTTAATTGATTCCAGAGGTCACGACTTACGTCGAAAAACGGCTTAAGTCGAAAGAACCAAACTAAAAACCGCAAATAAGCACCCTCCCATTGCCTTTTACAGTAGTTATGTTATGTACGTACAGTATTCTGAATAAAATAATTTCCACTTTATCTCTAGCGATATAACTTTACGCTTAGCATTAGCACTTGCACTGGGACTTTGCTTCGGAGCTATAGGCAAAAATTTATTCTAAATAACAATTGAAATGTAATTATAAGAACGTCAGCGGCAGAGCACAGATGTAAACAAGCCTGCATTCAAAATCGGTGTTGGAACGAAGTGCCACCTGTCGGCAGGAATTTGAAATATGAACTTCTGCTGAACATGCATTATTATACTAATTGTTTTGTTTTTGATGATTCTATGATAATTTTCATTTTACTGTTTTGACGTTTGTAATATTTTTAACGACCGACGTAAACTCGAGTAAAACGACCTGAGGCTAGTTTTATTTTCACATATAATATTTAAGAAAAACCGACGTATCTTCGAAAATGACGTAATTCGAAACGACGTAAGTCGAGGTACCACTGTAATATATTGAAACAGTTATATCTGTAAACAGATCACACTATGTCCTAAAAACCAATTCTTTTGTTTGTATAAGGATAGTTGTCTAGATCTAATATAAATTGGTTTAATATTAATTGCTTTTAGGCGATAGAATATAATTTGCATGATCTGTTGTCAGTTTTTAGCCGATCACATTCCAACACATATTTGTTTTTTTTTCGTTCATTTTTTTGTAGATTTGTCTGCAAGTGTCAGGATCGAATTCTTAGACAATTTATGTTTCATTCCATAAATGGAAATGCAAGAATGCAATGAAAAATCATAATAAAAAGGCACACGTGGAAAATACAACTACAGCAGTTGGCAATACGAAAAAATAAAAGAAACAATTAACAAAAGAGAGACAAAAAATAAAGGCTGTTTCATTAAAACGGATCAAATTCAGCAGTAAATAAAATAGTGTTATTGGTGAAAATTTATTTATTTCTCTCTTTCTCATGTTATTTAAATCATTTAATCTGCAATTATATGAAAAATAATATCGCCCAAATGTCTGCCAAGAAACAGCGGCACACTTTTTCGATGGTTAAAATTTTTTGATGACGTCTTTGCATAATCCTCCTCGATCTCACCAAAATGCCTTATTATCTCATCCTTCAGCTGTTAAATTGTTGTTGAAAGAGGTAACTTTGAGATGACCCCCAAAGGAAGAAATCTAAAGGCGTCAAGTCGTATATTCGTGGTGGCCAAGTGACTTTACTGTTTCGAGAGATGATGCTTGAACTTCTCATTCAAATTCTGTTTGAACGTCCATTTTCCTAATAGACTTAGATAACTTTAACATGTTGTTTGATTGTTAATCTTTACATGGTTGAAATTTCTAAACACTTGAGTTAAAAATCTGAAAAGAAAAGGAAAAAAAATCATTAGCCAAAATAACTTAATTTACATTTTTAAAAATTTAATTTACGAAAATGTGGCACATGACAAATGGAAATTACATCGAATTTTGACAAAAGATTTGTCTCTACACGCTTACAAAATTCAATTGACAAAAAATCCTCTTTAGTGATGAAGCCCATTTTCATCTTGGGTGGATTCGTTAACAAGTAGAATTATCGCATTTGCGCTGATGAAAATGCAAAGATTATTGAAAAGTCACTCCTCCACAAAAGGTCACTGTTTGGTGTGCATTTTTTGCTAGCGGAATCATTAGGCCGTATAATTTAGAAATTTGAACGTCCATTTTCGTAATAGACTTCGATAACTTTAACATGTTTGACTGTTAATCTTTCCATGGTTGAAATTGCCAAAGATTTAAGTTATTAAATCTGAAAGAAAAAGAAAAAATCATTAGACGCTTAAACTTAATTCACATTTAAAATCATTCCAAGTTATTGGAACACCGTTTACTAGAGAATGAGATAAACGGTTATCGATTCTCACTTATCAGGTTTAGTTTTGGTTTACGGCATATCAATGGGTTATTTAATGCCGATAAGATTTTTATTGCTGGTAATATTTTTTCCAAAAATGTATTGCTGGTAATAATGTATTGCTGGTAATAATTTTTACTTCAAAATTCATTGCTCGTAATAATTTTTTACAAAAATCTCTTGCTGGTATAAAAACCTATTTTTACACTTTTTAGTGCTACCACCCCGGGTCAGAGTCGACCAGGGACCACCAGCAATTAAGAGGTGGCTCCACGCGCCTCAAATCTCCTGATCCTTGCTATCGGATGTAGTTTATCGTCTTACCCAGGAGGCTCACTTGACAGAACTCGATCAAGGAAAATAACATTTTGGGAACATCGAAATGAACAAAAAAAAACAACAAACAAACAAAAAACACATTAGAAAGGAAATATTCGCGTATCAATAATATATTGACGGATATAGTGATTCTCTAAGCGCAGCTTAGATGTGGCACAAGGCCGGAAGTATGGGGCACCCAGTGAGGATCAAACTCACTACTCAGTCGTAATCGATCTAGTAAGACAGACTTTCTAATCATTACACCACGTCGAGGTGCTCATATTGACGCGGATATATCTATAAACAGGCCCCATTAAGTCCTAAATACTTTAGTTTGTCTATAGTTAATATAAGTTGTTTCAAGAACGTTTAGGTGACAGTAGGGAAATATACACGTATCAATATTATATTGACACAAGTATATATCTATAAACAGATCACACTGTGTCTTGACAAACAATCCTTTTGTTTGTATAAGGATGTTTGTTTTGAGTTAATATAAATTGTCTCAAGGACTTTTAGGTGATAGACAGAATATGATCAGCATGATATGTTGTCAATTTTGAGCAGTTTACATTCCAACTACTTAATGCACACAGGCATCGACAACCAATTAGGCTTACGGTCATATCATGTTGAAATACCCTTTTTCGTACGATCGCCGAAGTTAAGCAACGTCGGTCATGGTTAGTACATAGATGGGTGACCGCTTGGGAACACCAGGTACTATAAGCTTAGATGTGCTGGTGGTACAGTAGACGATGGTAAGTTTTTAGCCACCCTTGATTACAGCAATTTTGGCTTGTGTAATAACGTCTTTTTTTTTCATGACGTTTAGTATTAAATAAATTTGGTTCTATGAACAATAGTTGACTTATATTTTGCAATGGAAGTTCAAACCTAAGTAAGGAAATTGAATTTCAACGAGGGCAAATAATAGGATGGCATCAGTGTGGCAAGTTAAATAGAGAAATTGCTAGGTTTTTCCAGGTTAATCATCAAACGGTTAATAATATTGTCAAGAAATTTAATGAAGAAGGCCATTGTCGTGTGGAACAACATTCAGGAACCCTATGTATTGGGTCTGAGCGAACGAAAAAGGTGCAGCACTGAAGGGAAGTAATCAAAACCATTTCAGAGCGTCAAAACGATGTCGCCAACAGCATGGAAATGTCACCATATGCGTGAGAAAGACTCTGAAAGAGCTAGGCTATCAAAAAAAGAGTTGCAAAAAAAGCCCTTGATTTCAGAGGTTAACAGGAACATGTGTGGACGGACCGGGCAAGAGAATTTCAAGCAAATTACCTATAAACTTTGGCAGTCTGTAATTTGGTCAGATGAAAATAAATTCTGCCAATATTCAATATTCGAGATTTGGTTTATGTTTGGAAAAATAAGAATGAGATTTGGAACACTGTCTGCAGGAAACTTTGAAACATGGAGGGATTGTGGTAATGGTGTGCGGCGATGTCTGGTTTGGAGGGAAATCTGAGCTGATTCTTGTTGATCAGTGGTTTAATGGGTCCAAAATACAGTCAAATATTAGAGAAAGGACTACTCCCACTATTTGAAACCAATCAGATTGACAAGAATGTTTACCCTTGTCAAGAAGATGGAGCGCCATGCCATGCGAGTAAAGTCGGAAAGGCCTGGAATGAATCACAAGGAATCAAGTCACTGTCATGTGTAGCCTAAAATCCTGACATGAATCCGTTTGGGAGCACTTTGACCAAAAACTTCAAGAGCGTGCAATCAAAATCACATCAGTGGCAACCCTTAAAGTAACATTGCTAAAGGAGTGACAAAATATGGACCAGACGATCAAATCCATGAAAAATCGAATACAAGCACTTAAACTAGCAAATTTAGGACCTACTCCATGTTGACCATGTTTGCCGTAGTCTCTGAATATGGAATCCAGTAAAGTCCGTTATGTGTTCAATATCAGAGTTTAGCAGTGAAGATTCAGAGAAAGTAGCGGCTGTTTATTAATTCTTTAAGTCTTCGATATCAGGTTGGCAGTGACGAGATTTTGTGAAAAAAAAAAAATGGCTGCCTTTATACACGTCGCATTGAATATTAAGAAATTTCTGATTGGTTAACCCTTCAATTGGTGAACTATAAAATTTATCTTCTTATTCATTTTGACTGGCTCACTAGTACACATATATCCAAAAAACTGCAGCAATCCATACTATTTCCAAATATTTTTTGTTTAAGTTGAATAGGGATTAACTAATTAAATTTTGAAATTGGATGTAGTTTATTTATTCTTGCTAAAACTTAGACCACTGTATAATTGTAAAGAAAAGGCTTCGTTTTACTTTCTTATGCACAAATACCCTTAGGAAAGTTATGATTCCACCTCTTCTCCCCCATCTATAGGGTAATTAGTAGGATTTGTATCAGAAAAGGTTTTTCTTGTGACAAATAGTAAGGGAATATACACGTATCAATAACATATTGACACGGATATATCTATAAACAGATTACACTAATCCCTAACAACCAACCCTTTTGTTTGCATAATGATAGCTGTCTAGATCTAATAAAATTGTTTCAAGGGCGTTTAAGTGATATATTGTAAGGAAATAAACACATATCAATAATATGTTGACGCAATATATATATATATATATATATATATATATATATATATATATATATATGAACAGATCACACTATGTCTTGATAACCAATCCTTTTGTTCGTATAAGGTTGGTTATTTTGAGCTAATATAAATTGTCTCAAGGACTTATTAAAAACTAAGAATATGCAAAATCATTACACGAGAATATGGTTGATTGACTGATTTGTATTTTTTACGGTTTATCAACACTTTACGATTTCTTTAAAGCTGTATATTGTATTGAAAATTTGTTTTTGAGATAAAAATTTTTAACATAAAATCTGATTACATTCAATATCTGTTAATGATGGTGAAAGGAACTAGTTTCTTTATAGTCCTTTTCTCCTGCAAAAAGAACTTCTTATTCTACTTCATTCTTGTAAACTTTCGTCTTAACCATTATCACCCTCTTCGGTCTTCCTGAAATTTGTTCTTTGATGATCCTTTTTCCTCACTAAAATTTCTCATTCTCTTTCACTCCCAGTAACCCCTTGCGTCTTAGTGGCATTATCGCCATCTTCTGTCTTCCTGAAACCTGTTCTTTTATTGTTCTTTCTCCTCACTAAAGTCTTAGAAAACTTAGAGAGTTGAGTTAAAGGGAAATAACTGAGACATCCAGAAGAGGCATGGCACGTGGAACTAGAACATTCTACCCCGGTAGACGAAATAAAGGGTTCGGTTCGAAATTCTAATCTAAGAAGGCCGGAGCCTACAACGGCGAAACGCTATGAATATAGCAATGAAGATGAGGATAAGAGTCCAAATAATGTAAATAATGTAAGTAATCATAATACCTCATCTCAGAGATATAGACAGAAGGAAATAAATTTTAGAGTCTTTTTTCTTTTATGTGCCGTGTCCTTTCAGGGCGTAGGCGATCATGGCCCTCCACATCTTCCTATCTTTTTTTTAACTCTGAATAAGTTTTGTTTTGTTATTTCTCCCAAATCCTGTTCTACCATGCATTTACTCAGGCCGATCTAGATCTAGAATGCTATGCGATGCTTTCCTCTGTCCCCTTTTTCCTCATTCTGTCCTGTGAGTATTAGATTTTTCAAGCCCTCCTTCCTCATCACATGCCTCAGAAATTTCAACTGCCTCTTCTAGTTAAATAGAAGATTCCTTTTTGATTCCATTTTCTCTTAAACTTTCGTTCGGTCCATCGTATTCTCAGCATCTTTCTGTAGAACTACATTTCTGTTGCTTCAAGTCTCTTTTTCATCTTTGAGGAGATTGTCTAGTATTAGCTTCCGTTCAGGGGGACAGATATCACTTATCAGTTCAGTACTCTTTTTTTTTGTTTCTAACGAAATTTTCTTGTTTCTTAATATTCCGCTTAGCTTTAGAAATTCATCTTTGGCCTTCCCAATACGTCTTCGGATCTCAGTGTCACACTTTTCGTCCTCTTTAAGAACACTTCCCAGATATTTTAATTTTGTAGTTGATTGATATTCGTATCCCCGATTTGTAATTTACATTTTGGGCTCGCCCTTTTGCTGATAATCCGAAGATGGCGTGTCATTTAGATTTTTGAATATTGTAGTTATCCGCACTATTTACATTATTCGGACTACTGTCCTCATCTTTGTCGCCATATTCATTCCAACGTTTCGGCAGTTGTCTCAGAAATATAGACAGATACAGAAAGGCCGAAATGTTGTAATAAATATGGAGACAAAGATGAGGGACAATAGTCCGAATAATAAAAAATAAATACATAATACATCATCTCAGAAATATAGACCAGATACTGAAAGGCCGTAACGTTGTAATAAATATGGCGACAAAGATGAGGACAGTAGTCCGAATAATGTAAATAGTGTACATAATACCTCATCTCAGAAATATAGAAAGATACTGTAGTTATCCGGCAAGTAAGAAATTGGGAGTGAGTTCCACAGGTGGGAAGTGCGCGAAAATAGACTGTTAGAGTAGAACTGACGGTTGCACCTCGCTAGTTCAACAGTAAAAAGGCGAGATCTACTTGCCAATCTACTAGCACGCTTAAGTCGAGGCACTAATGAGAAGAGCTCATCAGAACCAGATTTATATTGATGCCCCTACGCATGTGCATGGACGAGAGAACCTGTGAATAATAATTTAAAGGTGTTTTTTTCGACCTACTAAATCTATTACAATTACAACTGAAAGAATTTAACTAAACTCAACCTAACATTTGTCACAACTACGTCTAAAGCGATAAAAGATTTAACTAATGCAAAAAAAACGCCCCCAAAAACCAAAAAAAAACCAAAAAAAAACCCCCAAAAAACAAACAAGCAAAAAACAATGTTCAAACTTAAAAGCAGAATTTAGTCTATTACCTGTAATAAATGCCCCAAGGAATACATCGGAGAAACCTCAAGGAATTTTAAAAAAGAATTATATGAACCATGTTTTACACAACTTTCTATATTGGTGTATCTGATGAACTGATTTTCTGTCTGTGAAAAATGAAAAATATTTTTAATAGACAATAATAATAATGATAACACTGGTCAAAAAAAAAAAAAAAAAAAAAAAAAAAAATTGAAATGGTGTCGAGGCACCAAACATCTTTTTTTTTTTAGCTTTTTTGAGGGCACTGAATCTGAAAATGACCTTACTTTTTCTTGGTTAGCTATCGTTTTTGTTGCATAGAAATGCCCTATTTTTTGAAAAAAGCATTTTTTCGTTTATTTTCTGTGTATATGATATTGACCGATGGCAATATTTCTCAAAAGAAAATCGTAGAAACCTGTCAATTTGTATTTAAACCACCAAATATTCACTGCTTTCTGAGAAAGACTATATGACAATAAAGACCCTAAGTCTTTAAAAATAACACAATTGAATATACCAAGACCAACTAGTATTTTCATCAAATCATTTAATGAACTAACAGCAGAAATAAAACCTTCGTGAACATAAGAACTGTGGTAAAATTTTTATCTTTCTTCATTGTCTGTCATGTTCAATATTATTTAATTCCCTTTTGATATACTCCAGCAGTATCATGTACAATGGAATATGTACATTCAACTGCCATGTCTTTAGTTGAAGTTTCTTTCCAACTGTGAAAACAAAATGCGCTCAATGTGCTTGCTTTCCTTCCGTAGCGA